TATTGACACACCTGTAAATTAAAAATAATCAAATATCACGACTTTTAACTTTTTGCTATCAGTCCTTGAAGAAATCCTTACCGGCTTTGCCGCCACTGCATGGATTACAGGACAGGAGAGCTTTTGAACGTCATTCACAGTTGCAAAATTGGCCGTGCCCGTTTTTGGGTGATAGTTATTAAAAGTGTTTAAAAAGCAAGTGAAGATTTTGGCTCGCCATGACTTTTAAATACAGTTTACTTGTTTGAGATATGTAATTGCTAGTTTTCATTCACTGCCAGTCGCTGCAGACTGACCGCTTCCACCCAGAAGTAGGCGGAGCTTCAACTTAAGGGTAAATACTTTGATAGATTGCTCACATCTTTTAAAAAATAATTCAGGTTCAGCAGATCTTCAGGATGTTCTCACATCTCTGCCCTCTGCCCAGTGATCGTCACTGTTTCCCATCTTTTAGACCAGCCTGAGATAAAACTAGCAAAATGAAATCTACTATAATCTGCCGAAAAAGTTCAGAAAATCGTCACTTTTTTTTTTTACAAATCCTTCTTTTTCATTTTTGCAAACTGATATTCTGCAGTCTTCATATGTATACACAGGTACTTTGATTATTTCTTCGCTTTTGTCTTTTAAGAGAGACTATCAATCAATTAATCAATTAATGATTTTTTATTTATACAATACCAAATTACAACAGCACTTTTCTACCACAACTCAACATGCTTATGTCATTAGTGAAGCTAGACTGTCTATTTTACAGAAGGACGAGAAGATAGATAATAACTAAGATAAATGGCATCATAATACATTAAATCACGTTTGAAATGATCCTCTAATTTGATCAATATGCGTCTTTGATTACTCACTCTTTATACTGAGGCTCTGGCTGTTCAGCTGCATAATAATACTTTAAATTAATGCAAAACATCTAAACAAACAATTCAATAATGTAATCATTGTAAGGCAAGCTGTTTTTAATTTCACTGCCCGTATGTGAGATTAAAACGAGCATTTCTGCTTCAGGCTGTCATCAAGACTTTTTATAAGGCGCCACATGCTACTTTTGCTTAGACTGAAAAGTTTTTATACTTTCCAACAATTTATTTAAAAAGTCCAGGAACTTCATAAACATTCATCAGATCATGAGACACAGTTATGACGATCTTCATCTTGTGGGGATAATTATCTGTATCCTGCTTTTTTAAATTAATTTTATTGCAGAATAAAGAGAAAAGTTGAGGGTGTCTTTTAGAGGAGGGAAACAAACAGTTTTTCTTCGAAGGTGCATCGTTATTTCAGTGCTTTTTTTTTTTTTTTGTCCCCGTCTTCCAAAGTCTGTATCAGTGTTGTACAGTACTGCCACCTGCTGGTACTGATGTGAACACCAGGCACACTTAGAGGTTACTTTCAAGTCTGAATAAGAGAAGTGGAGAAAGACTTCAAACCTGACTCCATCAGACCTCCAGTAAACCCCTAATGTTTGCCGCCATGGGGATCAGGTGTCCCATCTGAATTTCAGCTCTTTTATTTCAGAGAGTTCAGTTTGGTTTGAAGTTTAAAAAGGTAAAATTACTTCATAAGAAGTCACTCCCTGAGCGGGGAATGAAATAAAACAACTTCTGTGAGCTTTTGCCAAAAGTCAGAGGGTTAAGGTGAGACTGAGGCGGTTCATTTTCGAGTATTCAAAGACTTGAAGACTCATTTTAAGTTTTTTTAGATGAAGATAAACGGCTCAGACCTCCGAGCGCTTCACAGAGAGAGAAGTTTAAACGCAAAATGTTGATACTTTCAGCATCATATTACGGATGGTTAGTGTTTTTCAGAGGTTGTCTTTCGGCGCACAAAGTTTTCAGGGAAAAAATACTGGACAGATCTGCTGGTCTTTTTATTAGGTTTGAAATACTGATGTGGATCAAACTCCCAGTATTAATCCACCTGGGATCACACCGGGGAGGGTTCATTTTGGCACCCTCCTGTGGACAAAGCAGTCTTAGCCATGTAAAGATCATCCCTCTTGTCTTTTTTGGTCTTTTTCACTATTGCTCATCATGAAAAATCATCAGTGTAAGTTTTTGGCTGTTTCTTAAACACTTAAAAAAACTTTTCACTGGAGCTTTAAAACGTGTCAAGTTGTACCTCGTTTCATCTTCACGAAATTTGAACTTTTTAAAATTCTAAATTATTGATTATTACTTCTTTTTGGTCCGTCTTTCAAGATGAGGACATTTATACCCCAACAGATTTAACTCCTCCTTTTAGATTTGTTGCGTACTGTTGTTTTCTTTAGGTACTTTTAACTTTATTTAATGTACTGTTCAAAACTAAGTTGGTGTGCACATTTTAGGTTGAGCAGAAAAAGTCGGAAAACTTCCCTAGAAGACTTTTTAACCAAAAGATGAGCTGTATCGAACCCTTCAGGACAAAGACACCTGATGAAAAAAACATCCTGCAAGAGTGCTTCTTTATCTGCCGACAGCCTCAGACTATTATTCAACATTTCTGACAGCATCTTATGGAAGAAACTAAAGAAGAATAAACATTCAGGTTTGGTTAAGATGCTTTTCCACGCCTGGAAACAGCTGTCACACTCTCTAACAAAACCAAACTTGAAAGATTTGGTTGGACAAAGGATGAAAACTTGGACACGAGTTATTTAAACTCCAAACTGCTGCAGGTTTTATGCAGATTCAGACTAGAGAGCACAGGAAAATGAAAAAATGCTGCTTTTATTTCAAGGCTCTTTTCTTTCTACATGCTTGAAGTCCTTCCAAACCACCACAAACAACCACTGGTTGAGCAACACTGCCCTCTAGTGTCCGACATTGTTGTTGCTGCTGGCTGACATGAGAGGAATATAAATGTGGTCGTCTTATGTTGTCTCATCCCTTGATGTATGCAGAGTTTGCCCTTTGCCTGATACACATGACTGCTTTGACACACTCGAGTTCAGCTGCGGCGTACTGGAGCGTTTAATGTAGTTACAGGAGTCAGACCCAAAGGCACCTTATGGATAACGTCGAGGCGGAGTTGAAGTGGCAGCTTTTGCAACTTTAGTGGATAAACATCCAGCTGAAGTGGATAAAAAGCTCCATAACTGATGGATGTCACTGATAAACTTCACACTCACTACACTTGTTGTTTTTTTTTTTACTCTCAAGGTTATTTTTTTATATATTCACATGGAAATAAAGAGTTTGAATCTCTGAATTTTACTTAAAGGTTTCAATCTTATGTTGAATCTATTGCTGCAGTTTAATGAAGTTTTACTCACTTATGTTTCAACACATCTGTCTGTCGCATTCATGTTCACTTTAATAGAGAGCAGGTAAATGTCATTTTCTTTTCTGGTGCTCACAGAATTAAAAACTTTTTTTCTTCTCTAAGATCAGCTCCGAAGGCTTAAAGACTTAAAAAGTTCCTTATTGTTAGATCTGGTTCAGGTCTGGGTCAGCTCTGAATGAAGCTGCTGTGGGTTTAGACAGCTGTGGGGTACTGGAACATTGAGCAATCATCATGTCCTGTTAGAGTCTCTAATACACGGCCTTTCATGGGAGCGTCTAAACTTCAGTCTCAGCAGATGACTGTCTAACATCAGTCTGACAGCTCAACTAAAGGGAGAAACAAACAAATCACTTTAGGAAGTGATTCGGTTCAGGACGTTCACTCAAAAGATTTGGTTCTTTTGAACGAATCGTTCACGAACAACACAACACTAATTAGAGTCTCTAATACACGGCCTTTTCTGGGAGCCTCTAAACTTCAGTCTCAGCAGATGACTGTCTAACATCAGTCTGGTCCTGCTCGAGGTTTCTGCCTGTTGAAGGAAGTTTTCCCTCTCATCTGTATCTTGATAAATGCAACAAACTGTCCTCATTAACTCCCCTGTAAGCTGCAGAAAACACTGAATATCAGTATATGAACAGAAAACTCAGCGGGAATGCAGTCATATAGTGTGAGGCTCGATCATCTGCAACAAGAGAGCTGAAAAGAAAACAGAGTTTCAGTTATTTTAGTGGCAGCACAGACGGCACACATGTTGCTGATATGCAGAACTGAAAGAAAATCATAGATCACATCAATTTCTACATATGTTGTGTGATTTGTGCAGGTGTAGTATAGAAATAGAGCTGGTATTCTGTGATCTGGTCAGGTGTCAGGGTGAATTTGTCAACTCAAACTAAAGATGTATGTGGATTCTGCTGGAGGAGGATCTCTCTGTTTCTCTCTCTCTCCCTCTCTCTCTTTCTGCAGAAACAGAGAGAGCTGCTCCTCGCGCCGCCTCCCCGGCTGCTGTCAGGGTTCATATCTGCACTTTGAAAGACAGGGACTGAAGCGCTTTGATTTGAAGATGAAAATACCGTTTATAAAGGCCAGGACTCTCATTCCACCCGGTCAGCATCTGTTTTATCTGCTAAAGAGCCTATCTGCCCTGTTTAACAAACGCCGCGCTGCACATACCAATGAGGCGCTGTGAGGATGTAGAGCTGCAGCGGTCAGTTTAAACCGATAAATCATGTTTGTGTCTTTTTACAGACACGAGTGAAGTGTCCTTACATCTCCAGCCCCTCCAGTTTGCAGATAATAAAGACCAAGTGTTTGTAAATGCAGATTAAAGCCCATGTAAGGGGTTTTCAGACCTTAGCACCCCCTGTGGATAAGCCAAGCAGCTTCAGGAAAGAAAAGATCACAGTCGGCGTTTTTGGTTTTGTATCATGAATCAACCTTTAATCATAACCTGAAACAAAATAGACTCAGTGTGCGGTGAAGAAATAGAGTAAATAAATATACTTTCTCAGAGATACACATGTTGCTTGATGCTCAGGGGGGTTTATTTTCAGGACCTTTAGCTGAGAGGAGCAGAGTACAAGCAGGCCTCAATACTGGACATACAGTGGACGGGTCTGACTGGAGGAGAACAGGAGAAGAAACGAAAACAGAGCAGCTTCATGAGGATGGAGGAAAAAACACATCACGTCTGATCCTCTGTAACGGCGGGGATGTCGTCAGTAAATTGTGCTTCGTTTCAGGATGTACGGCCTCCGGGATTTGGTGTTGTGACCCGCTTGTCTCTTCAGGATGTAGGGTGATTTTCGTTTCAGCGGAGTGTCGTTGTTCTCGTCTAAATATTCCAGAGAGTCGTGGAGTAGCTGTACAAAAGAGAGAGAGAGATGACGAAGGGTGAGGGTGGCGGCAAAACACATGTCGGGCTGCTGAGCGGTGGGGTAATGGGAGGCTACGCCGTGTTGCTGTGATTAAACGAGTGCGGCCCTCATGCGTGGAAAACAGGTGCTAATCTGCAGCCGGCGTGTTAAGATTAACGCTAAGAGAGAGGGAGGGGGGAGCTGCTGTTAAAGGGGGGAGGGTGGTAGGACAATGATGGGAGGAGGGGAGGGAGGGGGAGTTAATGAGGTGTGTTTACCATGAGAGATGATGGATGGCCTCTCGAGTGTGTATTTGTGTTTGGATTGTGGGTTTGTGAGAGTGTGTGAGCATTTTTTAATCAGCAAAGACATGATCGCACACGGTTTAACAGATTTTTTACACCAGCTATTTTTTTTCACTCCCTTTCATACCCGAAATCTGCTTTTTAAACTTTGCTTTACTGTTGAGATTAGTAAGAGTCCGGCCTAAACTACGACAATTTAAAGAGTTAGTCTGATTTGCTGAATGAATAAAACCAGTAATTTAGTTTTATTAAAGCTCCTATAAGGACTTTTTTGATGTTTATAAAATGGACTTAAATTCACATTGATGCCTTTTTAGGATAAACAGAAGCAAACAAAACCATCAGCATCAAGATATACAAGTTTTGATTCCTGAAACCTGTGCGAGGGGGTAGGTGTCAGCCGAGCATCTGAGAAAACAGCTGTCTTTATGATTTCCAAAGAAACGTAGTAAAGTAAAGGTATACTTGACAAGATAAGAAAGGACTGCTTTGACCACAGGGGGCGCCAGATTTGACACTTGCCAAAATATTCCTCACTGGAGCTTTAATGAAACTAAATATGATTGAAAAGTAGCCTAACAAGCCATAACACTGTCTGATTTTCCCGTCAAAATTAGAGTGGCCTCAAAAATTACAAAATCAATATAATTGAAAATTTAAAGCTCCTATCAGCAACTTTCAGTTTGTGTACATTTTGGCGCCCCCTGTGGACAAAGCAGTCTTTGCATATCTAATTCTTTATGGAGCAGTGATTTTTGAAACAAACACCTACCCATTAACACCTGTTTTTCGGCATTAAGAATGAAAATGTTCAATAATCTCTGTGATGGTCTTGTTTGCATTTAGGTATATAATATAAAGGCATCAATGTGAATTTCAGTCTATTTTACAAACTTTTAAAAACTCCTCACAGGAGCTTTAAAGAAAATTTAGAGGAAAAAAAAACACCTTTAGTCAAATCAAATGGAGGTGAGATAAGTGTGCAGCGACTTCATAAACTTTACTATAACAGCAGTTTATTCATAAATATGTCATCAATAATAAATGTCTTCAGATAATTTGGTGTTATAAATTTATAAAATATAAAAGATTAGGTAGAGGTTAATTGACTGATCATCCTCTTCTAGTTAATGTTCAAAGTTCAGTTTTACCTGCATTAATAACCCTGAATAGACAGACAGGACCTACTAATCCAAACCTGAATTAACCTTCTGTCATCGCAGGTTCATCAGATTAAACCTCCCCTGATATAAATCTTTAACTTTCTGCACCACAGACTTAATGAAGCATTACCTTAAAACCTTCTTTTTAGGATTAAATTAGTCTGTTTGACAACATCTGCCGGCCAAAAGATTTGAGAGTATCTCATGTGGCTCGTTTCTCTCTGATATGCTATAATTAGAAAATCATTTACTGGAGATGCTATGAATGGGTGGTACTCTTTACTTTGATATTTGAGGCACTAATTTCCTACTTATTTTTGTGTAAATTAAAATCCAGACTAATTGACTGGTCCAAAAGTATCAAAGAAAATCTGGAAATAAGTAAAATTCATACAAAACAGCTGAATGAGGACTTCAAGACTTTATAGGCAAACGGTGTCAGCACATCTCGCACCATCAGCCTTCGTTAACACCGGCTCACCTGTGCTGATTTTATCTTTGGGTTATTTCAAGTGAACAAGACACAACCTGCACACAACTGTTTTTCTAATTTAAAGATCGAACACACACGGAGAAGCCATTCCTATAAGAAAGGAAATATTCTTGTATTCAGTCATTCTACTCTGTTTTACAGTTTGCTGTGTCACCCCGGAGAGGAAACAGAGATCCAATAGTTGAAACAAGAGCAGAAAAACAACAAATCAAACTTTTCACAGCTTCTGGATGTCGACTCTTTCCTCGAACCCGTCTGATTTTGTGTATATACATGTGTGTGTGTCTGTGTCTCACCCTCTCCTCCCGGCTCTGCAGCGCTCTGCAGATGTGTTGCAGGTTGTACAGCTCCTCCAGCAGCGGGAGTCCGCCCTCCCCCAGCTCGCCCTCCTCCTCCTCCCCCGCCTCCTCGCCGCTCAACGCCTCCTGCCGCAGGCTGCTCACCACCCGGCACAGGTTTGGCAGCGACACACGCCAGTAGGGGGCACTCTGCTTATTCTGTTTGAGCTGCAAAGAGAGCACAGCAGGCAGGAGAGGTATCAGGGGTTTAGAAATCCAGATTCAGGAGGGGGAGGGTTTTTCTAAATTAGATTTTTATTTTGAAGAGATGACTTTGGCCGAAATGATCGATCAAACTCAGAGTAAAAGTCTATCCTGCTTTGATCAGACGAAAACAGAGAGACCACAATCACGAGGATGTTTATATATAATTGAATTCAGCCTGATTAATCTAATCCAGCCTGCTGTCTTGGGTCTGCATGTGATTCTTATTGTGAAGATTGGAGATGTGATAAACATAAAAGTGAAGCGTCTCTCAAACAGAATCCTTTTAAAATGTATTAAAACTACTCTTTGCTTCATGTCATCATCCCAAATTAACACGTTCATTTTTAAACATTTGGCATTACAAAACTGCCATCCGTGTGTCAAACGGAATGACACCAAGGTTCTCCGAGTTTAAGCCAAAAGCATGCTGTGCAGCCAATCAGACTGATGTAAAGGTGTTAGTTCTTCTCAGAAGCTGGCAGTGCACTAATGAGGAGTCTGGGGATCAGCACAGACCTGTGATTCAGACCTGAGAGAAGTCCTAGGGTTGGTTTGTTTGATAAAACGAAAAAAAAAAGTAGCCAGAACTAAGGCTCCTGAAAAGTGCAGCTGCTGAAGCATGAACCAGGAATCACTAGACATCAGTGAACAATCAGATTAACATGAAATAACTGCACACTTTTATTCAACATTTTACACATGCACTTGAAAAAAAGTACTTTAGAGGAGTGCTATAAATCTAAGTCATGGGTTCGAACCCCTCTGGTGCAGCAGTGCAGCATTTATTTGGATACTAACTCTGATCTGAGTCAAGATCGTTGAGCAAATTTAATCATATTCATTAAATTCCCAAATCAAGACACTGAAAATAATCCATTTGTACTGATGAAAACTAGGGCTGGGACAATATGCTTTTCTCCCTTCCTTCGATTCTTCTATGATTTTTTTGGAAGCCGATTGGATTTCTATTGCGATTCTACGATATTGTTGAATTAGATTTTTTTGATTTTTTTTTTTTATGTGAATCGATTCTTTGTCCCACCCCTGATAAAAACTGTTTAAAAAATGTAAAATAAAGGGATTTTAAACATGCAGATAAAAAACCGAGACTGTGATTCTTTTTTTAATAACTTTGCCATTTCACTGCTCCAGTTTTACAGCCTTCCTCATTCTGCAGCAAACCCAACACAAAGCCTTCTTCGTTCCACTATAGCACTGCCTTTAAATGCTGATTTAGAGATCATGCTAATACTCTAACAGCATTGATATTCGCCTCATTTTTTAATCTAAAGGTGCGCTCGCTCTGCTGCAGTTTAAGACAAATGCAAACTATTTCTTAAACAGTTTCAAGCCCCTGAAGTGAAATTTCAGCCGCATTTAACCTCCTCTAGCTGCAGCCTGTTGCGCTATAATCCAGTTTGAGTGTTTTTCAAGATGGCCGAGCGGGCGAGTGAGCGCCCACACGCTGAGACCTCAGGGTGTCATAGAGGATGATGGAAGGATCCGGAGGCTGAGGGGAAATTGTCGCCGCTAAGTTAATACAAATCGCCTCCAGCTCTCCTCCACTCACTTTGCTCGTGTGTTTATTGGCGTCAGGGGAAAACAGACTCTTGTGATGATGTAAGCACGGGTGCAAGTCGAGTCCAGGTTTCTGCTGTTCGCCCAGAGGGGAGAAGGCATGTAATAAAAGCTGTCGACACATCAGAAGAGCAACACGCCAGGGACCACACACGAGCAGAGACTGACATTTAGAGATATTTGTTTCACATAGATGCACCAGGATGATCCGTCAGTGAGGTCGGTAAATCAATACCTTTGATAGGAGAGGTAACTAGTTAATAGAGCAGACCTTTATTTGAACAATACTCCATGGACCGTGAGTCAGAAATCTGTTTTGTTTCAAAAGGATCCTAATTGAATCACAGGATACTAAAAATACACATTTCAAACAATAAGATTTATGGGTTTGTTTATCTCCAAAAGGAAAAAAAGAAGCTTACTTAACTTAATCAAAAGTTGAAAGTTGAAAAAACTGCAAGATTTGAGGAAGTGCGTACTGGTTTTTTTTCTCGCATGTAAAGCTACAAAAAAAACCTTTTTACTCTTTAAATGAAAAAGCAAATCTCTTTAACTTAAATGTCTATCAAGTTCATTTTTTACGGACTGATATTTTTCTTGTGTTTTAAAATCTATAACAAATTTGTATGTCTATGTATTTCTGTTTCCCACATTCAGTCACTCACCCATCCTTTCACTCATTTGTCTTCATTATTTTTGCAAAACGTAGATTTTTTCAAAACAAATTTTGTATGTTTTTCTTGACTTATTTCATTGTAAAAGGAAGAGTTTATCTAATTTATCACTATGTAGTCTGTGGACACTTTTCTACATTATTGATATTCACTGTCTCTTGTTTGGAGACACATTTCTTAGCTTATTGATATTCTCTGTCTCTCATTTAGAGACACATTTCTTAGGTAATTGAAAATACTCAAAAATGTCATAAAACCTAGGGTGACCATATTCTGAATCCTCAAAAAGATGACACTACTACGGGGGCGGAGTTGCGCACGCAAAATTTGGGGGTTTTCTAGTCAGGTCAAGTGTTTTTTACGCTCTTCTAACTCTAACTCCCCCAGACATGTCCGGATAAAAGAGGAAATATATCAACCCTGTTAAAATTGGAGAGACGTAGACGAAGCAGCAGCTGCTAGCGAGCTAGCTTTAGCCGCCCTCTGAGAGATGACTCAGCACAATTTTCTAAGATTTACTGTGAGTCAAAAAACAATAGAGGAGCTTGTGCTTCTTTAGGTTCCTGATCAACTGAGGATTTATACTTTCTGACTGGATCTACACTTAAATTGTCTTCATTCACTTTTTAATTAACGATCCACCGGAAGTACATCCTTCAAAATAAAAGCATAAAAAAACTCCTTGACAAAACTCCCACCAATAGCTAAAACTGAGTCCTACTTTATTGTTCATTTACCACTTCAGAACCTTGGAATAAACTGAAAACACCATTTTAGATTCTGACTCAGCTAGGAAGGTGCAAATCACCCAGACCGACACATGAAGCCTCTTGAGAATAATACGAGTCAAATCAACATCCTGCATCCGATCAGATAAAAAGATAAAAGATAACAGGCGGTGGATTCACTTCACTCAAAAACACACAAAGCCACAAGTCTCTCCTCTAACCTCTCACTCCTCAGATTCTCCTGCAGTCTATCGTTCGTCTGTGGAGTTATTACAATCATCCCTCCTGAACAACCTCCCAGCATCAGCAGCTATGAATCACACGGCTGATTTGTCGCCATCAAATCGCCTCTGTGCGGGCGCCACCGTTATTTATCAGACAGATAGAGAGAGAGAGAGAGGTGGGAGACGTGTCTTTATGATGCTGTCAGGTCCATCTGAATATTATGAGCCTCAGCCATCCATCTTCTCATCTGCGGTCTCCATCTCAACAGCTTCACCTCTTCAATCTTCCTCCTCCTTTGCATTAGGGATGTCACATTTTATTACTTTAGTTCTAAAACAATAAAAATAATATAACACCTAAGTATTGCCAAGCTGTATTTTGAAAATTAACCAGATTTTATTATCATTTACTGTCCAGCTTTATGACTTATTTATGAGTTTGTCACAAATAAAGAGCTGAACTGATGCCAGAGCTGAAGTCAGGTTGCCAGATTGTGAAGCTTGCATATTTAACCAAGTGGAAGTGACTCAAATCTTGGCAAGTTTTCATGTCTTAATTTTAGTAAAAATAATAATTAGAAACCATTTTATCCAAATTCACATGAAAAGTCCTGAAAATTTGCCAGAAATAAGAGTTAAATCCAATGACAGAGTATGATGGCCACATTAAAGCTCCTGTAAGGAGTTTTTTGACATTAATGAAACAGGCTGAAATTTATATTGATGCCTTTTTATGTTAAACGAAAGCAAAGAAGACCATTAGCAACAAGATAGACAATGTGATTATTATAAAAACAGCCCTGGTTTCGGGTCAAGTGTCACTAATAAAACATTTTCTCCGAGTGACTAAAAAAAAGTTTAGTTTTTTTTATTCCAGTTGCAGATTTTTCCACCCATTGGAAGCAATCATGTCATATTTTGCCCAGTAATATCATAAAATAAGCAATTTTACTGGATGAGGCTAAAATTCAGCCTATTTTACGAGCATTTGGACAGATGTACTCGCTCAGATTTGAGGTTTTCTCTGTGTAAAAGTACAAAAATGTCTGCTGAAGATAACTGACTTAAAAATGAAGATGTGACTCTGAGAGCTTTTATTTTCTTGTCATCGTAGGAGGACATGGACGCAGCTGCAGCTGAGGGAATAGGATTGTACTTGTAAAGCCTTTTTACACCGTTCACGCCACATTCACACCCTGATGGCGGGGAGGACTGTCGTAGGGGACCACCAGAGAGACCAGCTCCGTTCACAATCAGTCAGGCAGAGTCATGTGGAGTAAAGAGATGTTCAGAAGGAGCCACAGTTCTGCTGGTTCTTATGATTCTTTTGATTTTCACAGGATCACTCGACTTGCTGTTTTATTTTCAGCCGCTAAAGTAACAGGTGCAAAAAAAAAGAAGAAAAACCTACCTTAGTGAAGAGACTGCTGAGGACCTCCTCTTCTAGCGCTCGCTGGTCCTGGTCCACATCTGTCAGTGAGAAAAAAGGGGAAAATTATTCTTATGAAGCATATATTAAAAAATCTGTTTCATTATGCAACTCTTTTTGGGTCAGTGTGCTTAAAGGGACTCTACAGTCCAAGTTTGAAGGATTAGGACTCGAACAGCTCAGCCCAGGCTGCATTAGACATCAATTACACTGAACTAAGAATAAAACAAACCAATTCACTTAATTTGGAAACATGCTGTGGTTACTTAAAATCTTTCATTTGGAATAAACACGGGTTCAGTTGAGTTCCTGGAAAGTTAAATGAAATCGTCACAGATTGGATAAGTGGGGTTAAGACGGGTAAATGAATCAGAGGAAAAGGCCGCGATTATGAGAGCGCTGATTTGGAGGGAAAGGTGTGAGGCTGAGAAATTAGTATGAATGTTGGTTTGAATGTACAAAAGACGCTTTAAGTGGTTTGAAGACCATTTTAAAGGAGGCTTAAAAAGTGTTTTTGTCTATTTTAACGTAAAAAGGGTTTCATCAGGCTTCACATTTGAGCTGAAAGCAAGACCCCAAGAATGAGCAGTAAGTAAAAAATAGGTCAACAGGGTGAGTAGAAAAGTAAAATCTGTATTTAAGATTCACATCTGGACTTGTCCGCCTTATTAGGATAATATGAGGCACAATAAGTTACTGAACAAGTCCAGAAAAAAGCCATGAAGAGTAATTTTAAAAAAAAGTGCTTGTTATCAGAAAAAAATAAAATATGTTAATAGATTTGGAAAAAAATTACCTGTTTTCTTGGAAAAAAACACATTTTTATTTGAAAAAAAAAAGAGAAAAGTACATTTTTCCTCTAAAAGTACGATTTCGTGTTTTACTACAAGAAACTAAGGTCTTATTTCTGGTGTAATATCCTGAAACAAGTCATTTCTCTGGACTTGTTATGTGAGTTTAGCTTAAATTAATCCCAACAAGACTATTTTTAGTAGAAATAAAAGAAAACACTTGCTAAATTTTGAGTTTTTACAGGAGGATAGGCTGAATAGGACATTTTCCGAAGGAATAAGACAAAGACAGATGCTCAGTCTTGAGTTTTTCAGTGTGAAAAAAGGAGTATTTTTGATTTAATAATAACAATAACAGAAGTCTGATCATGTCTCATAAATCCAGCCTCCGAGGTCACCGCCTCATGAATTTAACAGCATGCAAATAAACCTACGGACCAGGAAATTTGAATAACTACCGTATGAATAATTCATGTTAAGAAAGGAGGAGATTTTAAACTCGAGGAAAAATAACATTATGAAGAAGCTCTGATAAACAGTCCTTTAAATTACCCATGATTTATCAGATTTAGATTTAAGTTTGTTGCAACAACAGCAACATGAAAACGATGCACCTGTTGCATGCAAAAAGTTACACTGTCGGTAAATGTCAGTTAAAATAATCTTGAAATTATGAGCCAATGCAGAAAGACAGAACAGGTTTGAAGGGTCTGAGTGCGTACCTGAACAGAGTCCACCACATGTGAAACAGAGGAGAAGCATACACGCCAAGTGCACCTGCATCTTCATGAGAAAACTGACGGACACGATGAAACAGAAGATCCTGCACTGAAGAAGAGTTCACCTGAGGAAGGGTCTAGTCCATAAGGTTAAAGAGTGAACCGGTTATGAAGCTGGAACAGGATCTAAAGTGATGCTTTCTTCTTCTTCTTCTTTTTCTTTACTCCTCTTCTCCTGCAGATCCAAGTATGTGTCGTTCTCCTGTCATGCAGTTTTCTGGAGTGCAGTGGGCTCCATTCCCTCAGTTTATAAGAGCCGATGTGATGTCAGAGGATCACCCCCACCTTCCCACCCACTGAAATCCCCCTCCCCTCCATCCATCCATCCATCCTGTCTTCATATCATCTCCTCTCCTTTGTCCTTGTGTCATCGTTATATCAGACGTCATTCTTGCATCACAAAGCAAAATGTTTTTGCGTCAAGGTTTGAGAGATTTGGTAACTTCGCCTCACGAAATGCTCACAGGCTGAGGGTGTTATTTCTGTCCCTCGGGGATGGGGAGGCAGAGGTGAGAGGTGGGTGTGTGGGGGGGTGCATAAAAAGGAATTCACTCTCTATTTGGACAGGATGTTCTCTGCAAATGTCTGAGTTACAATTTATGTTTCTTTCAAATCAACAGGTAAATGTGGCGACTAACAGAGACAGCTGACATCAATTATATCGATATATAGCTGGGAGAGGGTGGAGGGGTAAACTGTCTGTTATTATTCAACAAATATTAACGAAGACATGTTTATTAGACACATAGTTTGCACATTCTCATAATTTTGCATTACAGTATCTGCACTAGACTTGCACTCCCAGATTTGTAGATGCTCATGATTCAGTTTTTTTTTTGTTTGTTTGTTTTGTTTTTGTATTTTTTGTGATGAAACTTTCCTGATAGTTAATTTTCACTCAAGTACAGTTTTTCATCTATTGGGGTTCCACAGGGTTCAGTATTAGGTCCTCTAAGTTTTTTCCAAGCTGCGTCTTTGTTTTTGTATTTTTTGGATCTTTATCCAGTTTTACAAACAGTTGAGATATTACAGATGTTCATTTACATTTGAATTATAATTATATATGGGTTAAAAAGAATAAGTATCATGCAAGTATAATGTTTGACTTTTGACAAAAAATACTTTTAGATCCAATTTCTTTGTTGAGGAGACATTATTTGGATTTGTTGCTTCCTGTATTGGTGATTTTTTCTTTTAACTCATTTCAGTGATTTTTTTAAAAATGTTTTGCCTGTAATATCACTTTTATTTTGACTTATCAGGCTTGTGTTAAGCTTATTGAGGTACGTTTTACAGGAAATAAGATGAAAGTAGTTCTGAGTTTTCTTCAGTGAAAAAATTTTAATTCGAAACTCCTGGTTTTAAAAAAAGATGATTAATGTTGAAAAAATAGATCTTCCCACAAACTGTCCATGGGTATTTTTTCATCATTTCATCACATGCACTTACACTTTCATTCCACACAGATGTATTATAAGAAGTTAATGTGATATTTCATTTGAAAAAACGACATGTGTATAATGTGCTTCACTTTAACAAAGCAAAATGATGTAAATTATGTGTATATTGTTAATGTGCTATGTCCATATTCCCAATGGTGTGAATTTGACATTAACTGTTTAAATCTAAAGTATATGACTAATGAATTCATCTATAAAGGGGCTGATATCCATCTTATGTGGAGTAAATCTCTGATTTGGAAAAGTAAAACAGAAGCCTGGTCTGCAGAAGTTGTTTGAAGCCTGAAATAAACAGACTGGAGTTAAGACAGACTGCATTCTTTTAAGGTCTAAAATTAAATCTGTGTCATTTCTTGTAAATCCAGCAAAGAGAGAGTTTCCAAACTCTAAGTAAGTGAATTAAAAGTAAATCTTCATCTTTGTGTCCTGCACTGCAATTTAATCAAACCCTGATCATGTTTTACTCTGTTTTGGGTGAAAACTGGGATGTAATTTTTTAATATAATTTCTGTAAAATTTCTAAAGTTAATGTTTAAAAGCAGCAGAATATGCAACAGTTATATATATATATATATATATATGTGTGTGTATTTTCCTCTTTTACTCGCCTTGTTAGTGAAATCAAACATTTTAAAGTGCTTTTAATCTGACCTCAGCTTTACACACTTTATAATTCATCGTAGTGAGTTTGAGGTAAATGAAAAGCATTTACTTCCACACTCCTGCAGGTGGAGGGGGGCAGAGTTTCACTAGCAAACCTCAGTCCGGTCTGGGAAACACCTCCCTCCGCTTTTCGGATGGGACGGACTGCGGAGTTGCAGTCGGGACAGCTCTCAACTTTTCAGAAACTCTCCTCAGAGAGTCTGAACGACGTCCTGCGTGCCATGCTGGGACTGTAACGCTCCTCGGATCGCTGTTTGGTTTTCCTCGCGCTCCTGTGACATGGCTCCGTTTGGAAAAAACTTCCTGAAAGCTCGACTGAAAAACAAGTAAGTTGTGGCTGAAAACCTGTGTTTTTTTTCTTCGTGTCCCGGTAAGGTAAAACTTTAAGTGTTGAGTGGTTAAGGAGGGAAAATTACGCACGACGCAGGCTGTGCGTAATACGGGGATATGGTAGAACTGCGCGCGGGGCGAATAAGGGCAGATTATCGATGCAATCACGTTCGTCATCACAGATGACTGATAATAATGAAGGGAAAAAGTTATAGCAAAACCACAAAATTGAATTTAAGTTAACAAAGAGCAGCAAACTGTTAGAAAACAAACCCATCATGTCCAGTAAAAGTCACAAAATGATTCGATTATTCAACTCTGAACCATATGATCAAGTTTTAAAAAGTCTAAAGCTACTACAGGGACGTGAATGGGACACTCAATGTGAACAAGTATATCTGTTATGAGGCTTTTAAAGGCAGTCCAGAGGGGAGTTTAAGCTACACTGCAAAAATCTACTTTCTGTTTTTAAAAAAAGTTAAAAGTTAACATTTACTTTTGAAAAGACATTTAAAATAAACAAAAACGTTGAATAAATGTCTATAAAAAGACCATCACACACTTGTAATTCCAGTTCTGTCACATGATTTGTTTCGCCTAACGCATAAACAACTTTAACACTTTTAAATCATCATATTAAATAGATTTTCAAGACACGTCATTAATTAAGCACTAAAATAATCATGAGTCTTCATGTTGTCTGTCCAAGTGGACAGCTGAAGAGAGTAGAGAGTTGGGGGGATGTACAGCAAAAGGTTGTGCCTGCGAATCAAATGCAGCAAGGTGGTCCAAGCACTGTACATTACATGGGGTGTTTGGACCACTAGGCCACCAGCACTACAACAAAACCCCAAAGACACATTTTTAACTCGTCACTTAAGTCAGCTAAGACGCCTTTCTGCCGTTTTAAAAGAAATCGACAAGCCTGGTCCACTTGGTGCTAAAATGAAAAAGGATTTTAACTTTAAAGGTACAGTGTGTGATATTTAAGTGGTAGAAATAATGTTTACTTGTGTGCTTCAATTGGCGTATTATTGCCTGAAAATAGAATTTGTTTGTTATTGTTGACTTCGACAAGTCAGACAAGACTGACATCTTGCACCATTTTGTTTCTACGGCAACACAGAGTGGACATATTTACAATTAATGAGTGGCCATGTGAAGTGGACTGGCTAGAAGAGTTAAATGAAGGAGAAAGTAGTTGCTGTTGTGCGCTGAGGATTTATTTGATGCTAAATCTTGACAAATGGAGGTTCAGACTTAACATGCATGACAGCAGCTTCTTGTCCTGAAAGGCCACCGTCCTTTTATGAGCAGTGGGGGTGAGGACAGGAGCATCGACCTGTTTTTGACTGATTTTCTATGTTGAAATCCCTGGGAATAATTGATTTATTTTTTCTTTTTTTGCTTCAACATAATTTAAGCCTTTTTGAGAGTTTTGCACCTGCAGTTAAAAAGTGTTTATCCTGCAAGTTAAGGCTTGTAAACTGACAGGGTTTCACTCATTTACACCACACTGTACATCAAACTATCAGAGTCCCCTTTCCTGCTCTGTAATTACTGCAGAGATCTCACTTTTAACGTATGTTTCATCAGGGTCACCAGAACTGAAGACCATTTTATCTTCAGGTAGAGTCGTCCTGTCATCAGCACTCTTATAATTTGCTTCAGTGAATCCCCTGAGCGGCCGGTTTGGCCTTTTGATGTGCCTCTCTGCTGCAGCTCAGATCCAGCCCCTACTTTGAAAAAGGGTGTGAAAATTAGATTCGCAGAGCCACAAGCTGTCCTCTGTTATTGATTCACAGATTCTATTTGGGGGCTGTTGGCTGCAAACTTTGTTGTGCAGAGTTGGAAACAATGATTTTTTGGAGTATCTAGGTCAGGATCCAATCTCTAACAGCGTGCAGGAACTGTTTCTGCAGCCAAAATGAGGATCAGGAAAGCTTTAATTGAGGCTTTATTCATCAGCTTTTCTTATTAACACCTAACCGAGCTGAGAAGTTTGGATGAAGTTCAGAAATAAAAGTCTTTTTATGCTAAATTGCTGTTTGACAGTGGCACCAGCAGCAGAAGAGATGTTTTTTTTGACGCTCACGCACACACGACGAATCTTTGATCGCTTCAAACAGTCTGAGTGATGCCGTCTCCTGTGGATGTCTTATTTTTCATCTTGTGTAGTAATTACCATCCCGGCACCTATAATTACCTCAAGTGTTTAGATCTGCAGATATGTCAAACACTTGATTTCAGGCTGGCTCCTGGGACATGAAAGTGGGAGTTTGCACCTCCATAGCGGCTCTTAAACAGAGCGTTGGAACATCAAAACTTTCAGAATTAAACTGATAATTGCAGCTGACAAAAAAACCCAAAAAAACGGGCACGTCATTAAGCTGCTGCAGTGGAGGGAAACAACACTTACAGACCTCAAATGTCTTTAAATTGAACGCTTTCCAGTCTGTGGCATGTGTGACTGCAGCTATGACAACTTCGGCTTAATCCTGCTGTTATGTCACAATATCAACGTGACTGCATTGTGCAAGAGAGGACCAATTAGCTGCTACAAATGTTTGGTTTTACACGAATTATCAGACCACCAAGCAGTTAAATGGATCGATCAACTCTAGAGAGAATAAGTCAGTTATTTTCACTGAGCTTATTTGGTGATTCACGGAGCCAGCAGAGGGAAAAGAGGGTGGGTGGTTTCCCAGAGGAAGACAGGAGAGGAGGAGGAGGAAGGGGTGTGTTGTGTCTCTGCTCACAGATGCCTATCAGAGCAGGAGGAGAGTCATCCCAGAGATCAACATATCCAGATAGAAAAGTGTTGTTATTTCCTCAACAATCCCTCATCCTCTTTGAGATAAGAGCGAGAGGAAGCACCTCCTGTCCGGAAACCAGTATCTGCTCAGCTAAACTCTCTGTTTACCCTTGTTCCTTCCATCTAAATAAGCTACTAAAGAGACACTGTGTTTACACCAGACAAGTCTTAGATATCCGTGTTATCGTGATGAAGCTATTTTTACGAACAGTATCCTGGAGTACGTCGACTTGAAGCACTTGTTTTTACCACCAACAGGCTTCAATCAGCTGCTCCCAAAATGGTTCATCATTCCTGGGTTCCCTTTGTATCAGAGAGAGGCTGTGGTGGTTTTGCTTTCACTAGAGTCACCAGACTATATCCGCAAAAACAGTCATTTGACAGAGAAAAACAGAAGTTTATGGTCTAATGCTGCTTGAATCGGACAGCCCACCTGCGCTGTTGTGGGACATTTGCGATGTAACATGAAATTGTTGGTTTGGTTGCATGGTAGCTCAAACTTTTGTTACTTTTTCAGCACCGGTACAGCATTGAAGTTCCGCGAAGCTCAGCACTTTAGGTAGGTCAAACTAGGGCTGGGCGATATGGCCTCATATCAATATCACCATATATTGAGCAGTTCACCTCGATAACAATAAATGGACGATAACTTCTCTGCAAGCTGCTCACCCCCTCCCACATTAACTTCGTCTACTTCAGCCGCTACAACTTTTGAATCATCCTCCATCTCCTCACCTGTCTTTCCCTCTTTGTTATGGACTGGATGGGGTGGAGTCACGTCTCTGACATAGGACAGACCATAGCCCACCTACACACATCCAAAACTAACTTTTATTTATTAATTTTTTTGACACTGAATATATCGATATGGGCAAAATGACGTCGGTTATTGTCGTAAAATTCGGTATTGGTAAATTTTCTGTTTATCACCCAGCCCTAAGTCAAACAGTTCAATGTGGCTTTAATGTAAATGAAAAGAAAAATAATTCCTAGAGTGGGAGGGTGGACTTTTGTTACCTGTGTTTCAACAGGGTGGTAGGGGCTCATGTAAAACTGTAAGTGCTCAGGGTGACGTCTGCCCATCAGTCATTCACCTACAGCTCGAGAAAAGCAATGCCTCAGACGAAACATGTCCACTACTGATGACGACAGTGAGTCATCTCACAAAACAGAGCCTCCACACCCTGTGCTGGTGAATCCAACTGGCTGCCATAATCTACAGACAGACCACTTTGACAGATGGTGAACCCAATGACTTAGCAAACCTAGATAGATTAGCATTTAAGCTAGCAAGCAATAAGCCCACTTGTATGACATTGAGAGGCTGTATTATGTGATAGGTAATGTCAGCATATAGTAGCATGGTTATATCAGACCCACCCTGCATGTAAAATAACATCGAAACTCTACTTAGAGAGATAGGATAGAGGAGAGAGCAGGAAAACAGGAAAGTACAAGCAAGGTATGAGAAAGGGCTGCAGGTTGGACTTGAACCTGGGCTGCCAGTTCCAGGAACTAAGCTTCTGTACATCAGAAACAGATAATTTATTAACAGTGGTATTTTGCAGATCAGTCCTGGTTAAAATCGATTGCAGCATTTATAAGAATGTTATTATAAAATGGTTTTCTTTCTTGCTAACCGAGAAAGAGTGTTTACAACTACATGGATGCAGATACGCTTCCACAGAAGGTGCTTTTTTTAGCACCACCTACAGTCTGAATACAGGATATTGCTAAAAATTCCAGTTTCTACACACTTTCTTTCTGTATATTTTGATATTCTCAGTGTAAAGTTTGTGCGTATGTTTGGTTGTTTACTGTGGAGTTCCTCAGGGGTCAGTTTTAGATCCTCCTAGGTTTTCTTTAAAAACTTGACAAATACAGGATCATACTCCTCATCACAGTTGGCTTTTTGTCCTGTCATTATAATGTAGAATCTGACTGATTGCTAAATATTCCTATTTCTGCATACTTTGCCTTTAAGACATAAAAAAACTTCTTTGTGCTCTTGGCCTCAAACCTGAAAAGAAAAAAAATCAGAATACAGGAGTTGCTTATCTACCTTTGCTTTATTCTGTATTATTGTAAGACCTTTGTATGCGAAATGGTTTGTTGTGATCCAGCTTAATATTTGTTTAACACAAAATAACACAAAAGACTAAGAATGCAAAGCAGCAGCAGCAGACGGGTATTTCTAGTTTTCTGTGTGGTAAACTCCTCTCTGTGAATGGAGGCTGGTGGCTTTGAAGAGAGTGATAAAAAGGCTGAGTATGGTGTCTAATAAAACATCTTAACCTTGAGCAAAGAGGCCTTTCTGGGTGGGGATTCATACTCACTGAGGATAACAATTTAAGCTGCTCAGATGCACCAGAATTAATCTTCAGCCTTTATCGTATGTTTTCTTTCTTTAAATAAGACAGCACAATATGGGTTCACTCAGAAGTTAACATTGGTTTAAGAGCAGACCAGCCTTTCATTAAGTCAGGTCAGGCTCATATGATACTTTCATTTGAGATGTATGGCCTGATGCTATTAACATTTACTCATAAGGGAATCAGTGTAAAGGTCATGTGTCTGTAATGAGATGTGTCATGCATAGCAGAGCAATAGGAGTTCAAGCAAATGTCAAAAGACGATTTTGTTTTAGTCCAACAATTATCTGCATGATATCATAAACATATTATTAAACATATCAATTCCCAGTCATACAGATGTGTTGCTTCTTTGCATGAGGACTATGCAGCAGTCCTCCTATAATATTCTTAAAACCTTGGTTTTAACAGCTGCAGCCTCTCGACTTTTCTTCCACACCACGATGAGTTTGACAAACTGGATGTGGTTTTAGGAAAAACAGGCAGATAACTGCAGGATTAATCACCAGGCACGTCTAAGTGTAACAGCATGAAGCAATTTCCAAACCAAATACTTTTTATCTTTATGCTGGAAGGAGTCTCCTTAAAATATTAACATAACAGTAAATGTAGTTTCTAACTGGACACTTTACTTCATCAGAACATTGCACCATGAACTTCACTCCAGGGCTCCTTTAACCGCCAAAATATGCATTAGAAAATCGAGACTACTCCTTACAAGGATGACCTGCAAGCACACTACAGAAAGACAGCTAGCCAGCTTTCTAATTGTGCGGTATAAGGACATATAAACACTGATAAATGACAATAACCCTGTCAAGATGTCTCTTATAGACAGCAACATTACTAGCATAAGATACAAATACAAATGTTAATACATGTCATTACAGCTGAGACAGTGTATATAATATAGGGATGGGCGATATGGGCTAAAAATTTCATCACAATAAGATTTGCCATTCTAGCAATAACGATAAAAGTCCTGGACTCATTTTGTCTTAAGAACACCTGTTGGAATAGTCAAATAAGATAATTAATCACACAAGTTTAAGTGGTAAGTTATGGGGGTGGGAATCGCCAGTGGCCCCTCGATACAATATTATCATGATACTCAGTCCACAATATGATATTACAGCAATTTTTAACATTTTGCAATACAGTGAGTATTGCAATACAATATATTGCGATTTATACTTTTTTTTTTCAGCTGTTTAGCTAATTTAGCATTTGTCTTTCCTTTATGTTTGTCTTATTTACGCTGTATTTTATGTTCATGTAGCATCTACTGTCGGATGTCAGGCATACGTGATTGCACATGCTTGCATCATTAACTCGCATTTATTGTATTTATCGTGACATGGCAAATTATTATCACAGAGGATTTTTCTGACGATTTATTGTTAACAATAATTTATCGCCCATTCCTAAATATGAGAGGGAGAAGGAGCTGCAGAGCCACAAGTACTATAAAATACACAAAGACGCCTACTAGAGCAAGTGAAATAGCATACAACCTCTGTTACACTTATCTTTTCTGTGAGTTTTGTCACACAAAGTCTGAAAATTTGGGGTTTTGTTCACATAGAGCATCAGCAAGAATCTCACGTATCAATATCTCAAGATGTGGGCAGTGAAAGTAAGTCAAGTATCTGCATTTTTATTCCTTTAACTAAACTAGAATCTACTTCGAAGTAGTAATTCTAAAGATTTGTCATCAACAAAATTACAGTTTTGATGTAATTTAGAAGCAAATGTTCGCTTGTTTTCGCCTTGATGATGAGAAACTAATGACGTTTTCACTCTATGGTAAGAAAAATCAGAGCCTGTTGACAGAAGTGGCTGCAGGATGTATTTGCTGATACTCTATAAAAGACTTATGTCTGCTGTTTGCATTCACATATGATATCTGCATTGATCTGAGAAAACATGCTGAGACACCTGAGAGCCATAATTCTGTCATTTGTTACGACACGTTCAAACCACCAGCATGCAGCCATCTGCGGTGACTTGCAGTCTGCAAATTTTACAACAGAGCGAGAATTGTTGAAGTCCTCAAGGCTGTTATTATGAGTGTTACAATGGAAGAGTGCCATGCCACCATGGTGGGGCTGTAATGCAATCGGTCCGCGCAGAAACTGGTGCTGAAAGTTCAGATCATTTAAATGTGGTTTCCTCCCACGTGTCTGATGTCTCTCTGGGTTTCTCAGGTTGGAGGTTCAAACGGAGGTCAAGCGGCTGCGCTCGGGTTTCTTGGGGTTGCTGGAGTGTGAAATGTTGAGGTCTGGCTTCCCCCTTGTGTTGTTCACAATCTCCTTTAACAGGATGTGTTTGAATATTTCCAGTGTTCATCATGTTTGTTATTGGTAATTGGAGTCGATCATAAAATTAGTGTCAGTTTTGTTTTTGGTCTCACCTGTGAACGATGAGGGCGCCCTCATTTCTTACAATTGGCAACCACAGCTTCATCTCATGCTATGAATATCAAATAGCACCTTAAGTGACAGCCCTTATGAGCGTGTTAGCGTTGATGCAGCCAGCCTAATAATGCGTGTGGTATTTGTTTTCATACCGTGGGGAGTTGACTAATAGAGATAACGGGTATTTGTGCTCCCGAGGACTGACACCAGCAGACGTATCAGAAAGTTTGTCTTCAAAATTTCAAACTTTCTCAGTTTTCCTCTATTAAAATTTGGTTCACAACAATTTTGCATGAATTTTTAACTCATTTATAGTGATCTCTTCTCATCACCACTTTCTGTTATACTTCTTGGTCTTATCTTGGACTCTATAGAAACTCAGCGCTCATAAAAGTCAGTATGTCACGTCTTCTCAATGAGACATCTTTTTCTTTCACCTCAAGCTAAAAATCACAACTGTCAACTGTTCGGTTTCAACTTGCCAATGTTTGGATGGAAAGCCCTGGACTCATTACATGCAATTAGAAAAAGAAAGAAAGGCCATGTTTATAAGATTTGCAGACAGAGAGCATGCTTTTTTTGTTGCACGTACAGAAGTTTGGAGACAGACACCATGAAGTCGAGATTGGATTCACATCATAGGTAAAAATGGGTGATTTTTTTAAGATGATTTGAACAGCAGAAGTCACATGGATTCATGCCACCTCAGCATGTGATCTGATTCAGATGTATTATGTATTGTTGACATTTTGGTCACATTACTGTAGTGTTTAAAAACAAGTCTGTAGTGACCGCTGTGGAATTCATTTTTTCCTCTTCCTGCTCATTGAACTGTTGGGGCAGGATGTAGTGTGAGCGTTGGTGATTGTGGCTCAGGACAAATACAGGTGTTTCCCGGCCTCACTGTCCCCTCTTCCTGCACAGCTGAGGTCATGGGTCAGCCTCAGTGAAATATCTGTCTGTGGAGCATGTTTGCTCACCTGTATGATGGGATACACATCACCATACTGATCAAATACTGTCCTCTTTAGTGACCTTTTCCTCTTTTTTTCCTGCTCATATATTCGTCCAGCCTCTTAATCATCATTCAGGGACTTCAACCAATCACATGCACACTGGATTCAACCTCAAAAAGTTTCCATGACAGTTTCGCTGTGATTTGATGGTGTCCACAGGTGTATCCTTCCCCACATCCAGCCTCTATCTCCCCTCCTGATCATCCCCTGTGTTCGGAGGCCTCCCTGAAGAGGCCAGAGTTGGAAACGTCATGGTTGATGTGTCTGAATGCTCCGAGTGTTAAGCGTTTGTTTGTCCTGTGCATAGCTCAGGTATTTGCTTTCCCTCGCTCGTCTCCAAGGGTCTCCGTAACCATTAACCAGCCTGTCGCATTGTTGCCTGCGTATTGCATTCCTGAGACCTTATTCAGCAGGGGTTTACACAATGCTTCAATGTGAGTGTTTTCATGCCGTGTGGGAACCAAAACACGGCGGTATCAGACTGTAAAATCTGAAAATTGTGAGATAAAGCGGCGTTGAAGTTCTCCTGTTTGAACTGTTTTTAATACATCTCACTTGCTGGTGTCGGCCTGCAGGCGGGTTTAATCTCCACCATCTTCAGACTCTTCCTCCTGACTGCGACTGGTTAATGTGGGCCGCAGTCAGGCAAGGTAATATCAGAAAGAAGACACTGGAGCTACATGATGCATGGTTTAGATCTAAAAAACATCGCTCAGGCAAACTAAGGCAAAAAAACAGATTGAACATTTGATTTCATGGACTGAACGCCTGCTGGCTAGAAACAGCCTTTAATGATTTTTCTATGAGCAGTTAGAAACTGTCCACACATCAGACTGGTGATCCACACAGAGATGAAATGGTAGTCGTTTACGGATTTATGCACTCTCTGACCCATTTTCCAAGAAGTACCAATTACAGTTACCTAAAACGCCATTTCTGTGTGGACGAAACGCCGATACGACAAAAAACTTTTACGTTTACTCCTGAATTCATTTCCGTGCTGACGGGTTGATACCGCCTTCAGACAGACTTTGCAGCAGGGAGTGGTTTGCTCTTCATCCGAAACTGCGAAGCTGTTCCAATTCAACACGACTCTTGCCCTATTTAGCCATGAAATTATTGTTTTCGTTTTGTTTTTCAATATAAGGGTTACCACAGGGGGCGCCAGAGTCAACATAGGCAGAGTTTCTTACAGGAGCTTTAAATAAAAAGACCAATAGGACACAGAACTTGAATAAGATTGAATCAATAGAGTAAAATCAAACAATTAAAGTTCAAACATCATGTAAATGCTAGAAAAAGGGTTTTAAAAAATCGACTCTGCAATTGAAAAAAAGTTGATGCGCCCGACCATAAAACCTTCCTGAAGTCATATTTTGACCTTATTATGAGTGCCGACACCTTTTTTATGGTCTGCAGTTGTCTCTCTTTGGATTTCGCTCCTCTCCCTTCAACTAACATGAAGAAGTGTGTTACCGAACCAAAGCTGAACTCTTACAGTGAGTCTGCAGCCTGTGGACCAAACGTGACACTCACCAGATGACAGGCACGCCGCTCTGATTTATTACTGTTAATAGTTAAAAGGAGAATGACCCGTTTACCCAGATTCCTGCAGATACACCGCAAAAACTCAAATCTGAACAAGCGTGTTTGACTGTGTTTGTTTTTTTTCAAAAGTACCTCACAGGATTCAATTTAAAGTCATGTTTATATTACAAATCCAGGTAATCCTCTAATTTCAAACTAAAGGCCTAGATGAGCACTTTAATCCCATTACATGAAGCTGAAAGGCAGATTTTGTTATGGTATAGACAGAAATTTATCCTATATTCAGGATTATACCTGAACTTATCAGGCTTATATAAAGTTCAATAAGATATTTTGGACTGGGAATCAGGCAAATATGCCTGCCAAGATTTAAGTTTTTAAGAGGAAGAGCTCCTGTCCAGGATATTTTAAGGGTAATCTTCCTGAGAGTCTTTAAGAAAGCACCAATAAAACCACATAAACTGCAGAATAGTCTTCACTGAGGAAGAAACTTTACATTTTAAAAATACTTTGTCTCCTTTATATTAATAATTACGAGATGTATTAGTCTTTATCTTGAAATCAAATTGAAATGTCTGGCAATGTTATCTCCTGATCCGATTACCTCCTTGTGTTTTGGATGTCTGCATTGCCGGTGCCGATCGTTTAATGACTGGATATTAGGCCCCGGATATTACCGGTGGTCCATTAAGCACGTAAAAAATGAATATCATCGGCCAATCAGAGGTCAATTTTTGAGCAAGTTTGACCATCCAGACCTAAAGGTAATGAGGGCCCGGGGATTAAATAGCTCTGAACCGAACCATTAAGTGATCATCAGAGATGAGTGAGATGATGAGTAACGGTCTAATAGAATCAAGGCAGAGGGCACGAATGTAGTTTTCTGCTCACTGATCTAATGGAAGAACATGAGGTAGGAACTGTTGAAGAAAACGTACCGCAGCACTGAGACTGCTGAGCTCTGTAACCGCCGTAAAGAATAACTTTCTGTATACAGTGTTGTTTTAAAACTACCATAGGTGGAGTTTCATCATGGTATTCACGACAAATCTTGACTCTCCTGAGGCACAGACCCTGGTATTACCTCATAATCCCTATGAGGTCTGGTGGAGAAGGTTAATATTATCAGGAAACATTTTGTTTGTTCTGTAGATGTTTTATTTTACTTCTTGTAGATATCAGATGGACTGGCAGCTATTTAGCTCAGAGAATTACATCTACAAAGCATCCTTTATTCAAATGGCAAAGACCTCTCCATTTTTAATCCCCGATCCATCCACCCATCCATTTTCTACCACTTATCCTATTGGGGGTTGCGGGGGGCTGGAACCTATCTCTGCATCTTGGGGCAAAGGCAGGACAAGCCTGGACAAGTCGCCAGTTCATCACAGGGCTGACATATAGAGACGAACAACCATCCACACTCAAATTCACACCTACGGGCAATTTGAAGGTGACCAGTTAACCTAACCCCACTATTGCATGTTTTTAGGATGTGGAAGGAAACCCACGCAGTTACAGGAAGAACGCGCAAACTCCAACCCAGGACCTTCTTGCAGCGAGGCGACAGTGCTAACCACTAAACCACTGTGCCTCCCAATTCCCAATCCTTGATCACTGTATTGACCTTGTTTCTTTTCTCTTTCACAGGACAAAAGATGCCGAGCCTGTGGTGGGAAAGGAGATCCAGGTTACTGTCTGCAATGAGGAGAAAGTTGTCTGCGGAGTAACAAAGCACACGACATGTGCGGATATGATTCAGGCCTTACTGGATGATCACAAGTCGCTCCCTGAGAGCAAGCGGCTCCTGCACGGGGAGCCCAAAGACTTCTTTCTGGTGGAGCGATGGAAGGGTTTCGAGAGAGCTTTGCCTCCTCTCACCAGGATCCTAAGACTCTGGTATGCCTGGGGGGACCAGAGACCCTTCATCCAGTTCATACTCATCAAAACCAGCGACTTTGTTCCTCAGCCTACTAAGAAGGTGGGAAAGTCCAAGGGTGCCAGGCCTAAGCGGTGGGAGAACGGTCGCGCTCAGCACACCCAGGCTTTACCGGCGGAGAGGCAAAAGCGTATGGTGAAGAAAGCTTTCAGGAAGCTGGAGAAGCTGCACAAGGAAAGCAAGAACACCCCAGGTGCTGATGAGGTGGACCGAATGGTGCAGCTTATTCTCAACCAGGACCACACCATCAGGGAGCAGATCCAACGCATGAGGGAGTTGGATTTAGAGATTGAGCGGTTTGACTTACAAATGCAGAAGGAAGCTGAATCTGAGAGTCCAGCAGCTCAGGCTTGTGGTCAGAGCTTTGAGGACCACTTGGAGGATCAGTTGCAGGAGTATCTTTACACCAGTGATGGAGTGGAACAAATTGAGCTGCAGGTTCAGAGGCATCAGGAACTAATTCACCAGCTGTCGAAGGATATTGACGCTGAGCTCAGGAGGGCCAACATCCCCCTGAGCCCTTATGAGGACTGTGAACAAGAAGGAGCTGCAGCTGCTTCCTGGTCCCCAATGGAGACCGATGAATTGTTCTACTCTACTGAACTCAAGAGGTTACAGGATGAACTGAACCACAGCCTCTTCGCCGGTGTTTCCCTTCACAACCAAGCTGCTGAGCTAGACAAGCAGCTGAAGAACTACGAGGCGTCCCTGGTCTCCAAGGACCAGGAGTGCTGGCAGCTGGCTGCCCACCTGAACTCTCTGCAAATAGCAGACAAAGAAGAGGAAGAGCAGCCCAGTCCTCTTCCTCTGAAAACCGAGACCCAGTGCAGCGTCTCGCAGGCACTGAAACTCAAACACAGTCTGTCTCCCCTAGACGTGACAGACACAGACTCAGACACAGGGATTAGCTCCACACACAGTCAGGACTCGTTGTCACCATGTCTGGACTTCCCTCCCCCACTGGACACAGACGTGTGAATAACCCCAGTGACCCTGCAGTTTAAAGTTTCCTTGTGCACTAGCCCCAGTTTGTGCCTGACAGTAAGAGTGTAGCACTGGATTGTCTGAGGAACCAATCGTGAAGCGGCTTTAACCTAGACCTGAATCAAACGATTGAATGACCAGTGTTGTCATCGTCAAGAAATGCTGCCTTTATGTCGCTCATTTTGTTGTATTTGTTACTAAAATATACAATATATAATTTGTAAAGACTTTGTTGTGGTTTTGAGACGTCCCAGTTTGAGTCACAGGACCTCTTCTTTAGATTAAGCATGAGCGCCAACAGCAGTCCATCAGTTTATGACAGCTGAGTATTCCAGCTTTTAACTGATTGATTGAGCAAGTGTGCACGCCACATTCCCCGAGTGCTTCACACTCCTAAGATGATCCAAGCCCACTCAAGCTAATGATCCCAATTCCACAAAGACAATGTGGCACATCCCAGAACGGTCCGTCCAGCGGAGTTTGAACCCAGCAAAGCAATTTACAGGAAGTTACATACAGAGCATCTAAACTATTTCAAAATAAAAGTTCAGCTTTATTACTCTCCAGGGTAACTTGATCTGATCAGAACAGCTAAAAGCACACCATATACAGAAACAAGGGGAATCACATCAGCAGATAATACACTATCAATTAGAAGCAATCTTTAGCATCTCTTAAAAGTAGGGAAAAAAGTCACTGAAACTCTTTTTAAAGTTACTTAGTCATGAAAGAAGCCATCACCATTTTTTAGATACAAGTAGAGTGATCATAGTCTTTGCTAAAAATAGTGCACTCAAAAGTTGTGCAAGTGCACTGATTGCACGTGTAAAAAAAGTGATTGCTCTGGGAAGCCGATATCTTAGTCCAGAGGGGAGAGGAATAAATCCCTCCAAGAGCTGATGGTCAGAGCTCGACAAAATCAACTTCACTCTCTGCAAAAACCTGCCTGTCAAAGATCTTCGTGAGAAAGAGAGAGGCTGAATGCTGAGTATCTTAGTGGCTCCTGAGGTGAAACCGTCAAAGTCTGGTCATTATTAATGAAATTAAGTCAGTGCAGGCCATTTATTTCAGTATCTAAATGATAATAAAATAACCTCAAAAAGGCAAAGGCAAAGCAGCTTGTCATAAGTTGCTCTTGGTATACAATGATACTACTGTATAACAGTAAACTGTAACCTCCTGACACCAGTTGCCTTGAGCTGTGTCCCGTGAAGATACAGTTGACGTGTTTCCAGCTGCGGTGAATGAAGCAAAAACGTGTCCTGAGTGAATCATGGTGCACGTGCTTGCTGTGGGACAGAGACATATATGTACATTTTCCCCATTAAAGATCGTACACTCAGCATTAAGATGTACCAGGCTCAGTTACTGAAGAGGTCATTTCCTGTTAATGGTGAATGCACACTTCTGTCCGTTCGTAATATTTTAAAGCTATTTATGAAACTGCACTTCTTTGTACACACCTATATGTCTATTAACAATGTTTTATATTAAAACAAGTCGCTAACTTTTGGATGTAGATTTGAAGAATTGTTGAAAATTGTATATTCCTCTCTGCAACACTGTAAAAATCTTATTGTAGCAGCTATTTGTGATTATTCCTATGACTTATCTGTACAGAAATAACTTATTTATCTTGTAATTGTATTTTACAGATTTTTTTATCACCATGTTCTGTATGAGGCGATGGTTTCTATCAGATTAGACAAAAATAGCGCATATATCCTGGCTGTCACGTTTTAACACTAAAGCTATGAAAGTAAAATGTAAGTTTCACCTCTTATAATAAACACTAATACTGTTCAATACTCAGTTTGTACTTAGTGTTGATGTTTTACCTCTAACCCTGAGTTGTTGAGGGTGTTGCTGCTGAAATAGGAGGTAGAAATCTTAAACCAGTAAAAGCAGAGAGCTGACTTTGAAAACCTCTGAGTCACCACAAAGAAATGACACAGCAAGTATCCAGAGCTCTTCTTCCCGTCACTGCAGCGTATAATCAGACAACGTGGTCGCCAGGCGAGCACAAACAACAGCGAGCTCTCTCCTCTTGTCAGGGTCCTGCTGACAGACTCACACTTTGTGCTCGGGGCAGAGCGAGGCCGCCTGCTTGAAAAAGGAGGATATCTATTTCACACACTAATTGCTTAACCCCATCCCCCCCTTCTTTCCTCCTCCTCCTCCTGCTTCTTCATCGCTTCCAGCTACTAAGTAACTTCACCAAGCATGAAAGGCCAGAGATCTTACAATGTGAACAATGTTATACCAGAGCCTCACACTTGTTGATGGACCGGGGGCCGATTACAGATATTCTAGCACGTTGTTTTTCACCAGCAGGCACGCATTAAGCAGGATTACAAAGTCGGGTTGATATTTTAATGCAAATCTGAAAACGCAAGGCTGATGTTCATCCGGGGAAAATGTTGCAGAGAGCTCTGTGGCTTTGAATCTAAAGTTTAGCAGCTGTTTTCAAAGTTCAATCATTCTGTAGAGCTTTATCGATCCAGGCCCTTCTGACCATCAAGAAAGTACAGAAATGTCTCTTTCGCTTACTTTTTCGAATCTGTAAATTCGTGTCTCTTAACTGCTCCCTACTCTGACATGCTCGAAAAAGTTGGTCATTGTTATTGAAAGGATAAATCATTGTAGATAATAACTGATCACCTATTTCTCAGGTTCAACTAAGACTCCAAAATTACTTGGTTAAGTTAAAAAAAAGGTTCAAGTCCAAGTATTAACATCAACTCAAAGGAGGGTCTATTTTTGAACACATTCCCTCCTTATGAAAATCTATAGTAGGCTCTAGTCTGTTGCCTTAATTATTTAGAAAGCTCGATCTCTACAGATGTGAATGGCTTACAGGCTCATAGAGACTTCCCTGATAGTATAAAACATGTCGGATGGCTTTAAAGCTTGCAGAGAGGAGATAAGGTTCAGAAAATGCTTTGAAACATTCGAGCCCTCAGGCTAACATGAGCTGGCATCTCTTGACAGAAACTGAACAGGTAGATTCTCACCTCTGGCTCTCACTGAAGGATAGACGTGTCTCCCTGAAATGTTCTCTTCCAGACTTGTTTGACCCATTTTAAGTCAGTGAAAATTATTAGTGAGGCAGATTGTAGTCACTCGGGTTTGTTCACATCTTTCTCCCCGTGGGAACTTGTAAGATTTCTTGTTGGGGCCTCTGACATGATCATCTTTATGGTATGCCCTGTAGTGAGTTCTTTTATCACATGCTCACACCAAACAGATTAAATCATTTACTTGCTTCATTTGCACGAATCTGGATGCCTATATGTTGTTTGTTGACTTAATCAATTCCCATTAATTACTCGACCATCATACAACTCATCTGCAGAAAAGGAGAGGTTCCTACATATCATTCACATAAGTCATGATCAGTTTAACCTCCTTTTTCCAGAGGAATGAACCTACACCAGTCTGTTGTTGTTGGCATATGTCATCAAAGTCTCCATGCTGATTGGCTGAGTCAGCGAATAGTTAGTTTGAGTCAGAATTTTTCAGCTTCAAAAAAGAAGCAAAGTGAGCAGTGCATTGAACGCGTCACAAATTTGCACAAGTAACCCGCGCTATTTGCACTGCAATATGTCGCACCACCCAACAAAATCTGTCTTTGCATTGACTTTCCATGTAATTCACCCATGCATATAACTTTATTCATGTTTGGTGTGAATGCAACATAAGGGCCTCAGTCCACTAGCGCTCAAAGTGCCGATAACCTCAATTTCAGGGCCCTTTTTCACTAACACTGTCTGTTGCAGATTGATAAAGTTGTCATAATAAAAATAGGTGCTGCAAGTGCAAAAACACGAAGTGGACACAGGCCCTTATTTGCACAGCTTGATGTGTGACTGTCTAAGATTACAGACAGTTATATCTCTTGGTTGTGATTTCAAGATTTCTGATTCTGAGCTCAGCCTAAAATTTAACCCTTAACCTTTGTTGACATTTGACCTGTTCAAACTGTACTGAGATGATAATGTTTTCACACTTGGCCTATATATTAATATTCTTTAAATTCTTAAGTGTTTGTCTACCCACCAGGTACATCTTATCACTTTACTGACAGACGCCTGAGGGTCTTTAATAACAGTGAATGACACAAACTGATGTTAGTTAAGGTTCTTCGTGGAAAAATGGCCCCTCTGGTCCTTCTGTAGTATTTTTGTCTGCTAGGGCTCTAGAGGAGGTTGGATTGAAAACCTTGAAAGCATTTCTCCTGATTCAAAAGGACGGAGAGGTTCTTCTTTGTTCAGATGACCTCAGCCCAAAACAAAACAAATAGAGTCACAGAAACGGTCCCAGAACCGGTCAAAAGTGTTTTTCTGCAGCAGTGAGACTTCCAGTGAGGCTGCAGACTCAGGTAATGTTTACCCTCTTCCCTCTGAAGTAGATCAACAACTCAAAGGCTTGCCAGCTCACGAGTGTGTTTGCAGACAACAATAATTACACACACCAAAATGACAATTAGACTGACTGCAGACCGGTCTTTGTTCAGCCCTCCCAGTTATGATGACTGGGCAGCTTGAGTAAACCATCATTTGTTATCAGCCGCGGTTGGAGCGCTGAAGATGAAAGATGAAAATTTTAAAGTCAAATCTTCTGACCAAGAAAAATATTTCATAAACAGTTTGGTTTAGACTCTGCGGTGTTATTTTCCCAACCTTGACTGTGCTCCCTATCTTTCTCCACAGACCTTTAGGAAGCAGGGTGATAAGAGTCAGGAAGACATGACGTGAAAGCCTCAGTGTGTTGGAGTTTTATCGGATTGGGCAGCCTGGACTGTTAGCAATAAAAACGGCGGTCAATACATTTCAACAGCTTCCACTTAGCACCGTCCTGCTCTGTTTGGGGGATTTATTCGCTTATCAGAACTGGTAGAAAACAAACAGGCCAACTCAATTATTGTTATGTCTTAGATCCAGTGTTGCCAAACCTTGAGTATGAGCCCTGATTCCCCAGTAGTCAAAGCCCCATCCTGTAGGGGTAGGAGAAAGAATCAATACAGCATAGTATCGCAATATTTTGTCTGGTGATATATCGTATCGTCCAATCCACCAAGTATCGACTCTTTCAAATTAATTGCTAATATGAACTTAAGTCTTTGAGTCTTGATATGGCAGCATCTGGGGAAGGACACTGGGAATGCACGCAGGGCACAAATGAGATGGACCTGACACATGAGGTTTGCAAGACGTGCCACATGAAAATAAAATACAGTGTACTGCATTGCAAAATGTTTAAAATCGCATTCATATCACAATATTATATTAATTATCAAAATATCGAGTTGTGGCCAAAGTATCGTGGGGCCACTAGTGATTCCCAACCCTACCATCCTGATGCATATGGACAGGGAACACAGTTTTCTCTCTGCATTTTGCCCCAACGTCCACAAATAACTAGAGTTTCAGGTCACAGAAAACAAAAGGTGCCTTTCTGAAATATGTGAAGTGAGATGCTGGAAAGAGGCATCAGGCTGGAATCGAACCTGGGCTGTCGTGTGAGGTATTTATACAGATATATATGAACAGGATGTTTGTACAGCTGGGCCAAAAGCAGCCTGGTAAAACCTTATATAATTGATTATTATTCCTCAGTGCTAGGTGAATAAATACATGATGCACAATAGTTTTTATTGCATTGCAACCCTGAACCCCACTTGTATGAAAACACTCAACAGGTTGACGAGTTGAGTGTGTTTTCTGTTTGACATGATGGACTGGTTACATGTTATTGCACTTCATGAAATGCCATTATATTTTCCCAGACACTCCCCTCACTTACTCGGGTGACAACAGTACATCTAACCCCTGAGGTTATATTTCCAACAATTACACCTGGATCCAGTTTTTCCAAAGTGGAACAGATGTCAAGTGGAACCGATCACACTGGAATGTTTCTTAGGCAACATGGTGTGAACTTTGCCGCTGTGATTTCTTGTTTGCTTTACTCACACTAAATTTAAAAAACAAATTTAAGGCTAGGTCATTAATTGTTCACATGCTCTTTTCCCAAACTATCAGAGTGAATCCAGCAGAAAACACCCTTTGTCTTTACATGTTTTCAGGACACATACATCACCATGTACATGTGCCAAAACCTCGCACTGCCTTCTCATTTGGTAGAGTTCCCACATCACACCCAGCTTCAAAGTTTGTGATTATGTATATTTTATTCATTCGCCAGAAGCCAAAATCAATCACTGATGCACCGATTCATTCCTCCGCTTTGTAATTTACTGGCAGTGGGATGAAATGTTTAAGACCAAATTAAATGACATTCATGCACCGGCCCTGCAACCGTCCCATCTGCCAATCTCTGTCACATTTGCCTCTAAACTGGACGAGTCAAGACTTGTCAAATAGTTCAAGGACCCGGGGCTTAATTGTGTTAATGAAAGCGCATTTGGAGTGCCATGTTGTCAAAGAGGCATGAATCATTTGATAAAAGGGCCCAAGAAGTAATAAAGTGTCCCTGCTGCCAGGCAGCAACAAGAGAGCAAACAGGGGAAAGTGTGAGTGAGTTTAAGTGTAGGTCTGTGTGTTTGTGTGTGTTTGGAGTGTGAAAAGCTGCAACAGGGATTTTTTTGTGTAATATGATCAGACTGCTGCGGTTTCTTACATTATCATACAAAAAATAAGGTGTTTACCAATTCAGATTAAATCAAACTCAATGCTTGCTGTCAACACACACGCACACGCTCTGTGAAGCCGCCACCTCCTCCTCCTCCTCCTCCTCCTCCTCCTCCCTCTCTCTGTACTAGCTCTAGTAAACACATTTGATGTTGGCAC